CATATTTTATAGCGTACATGAATAGGGCGAGTTAGGAAGAAGGAAAAAAGGAAATAAAATTTGATATTTTAAATCAGACTCTGGTTTTATTCTGAATGCCTAGTAAAAGGTGAAATGGTAATCCGAACCGCCATCATTGCCTTGGCTTTTACTTAAAATGTTCCGTATACTCGTATTCAGAATAATATTAAATGCGTGGTGAAAAGTTAAAGGCATAATAACTTAATTTTTTTTTTAAATCAGGAATAGATATTGAATAAAAGATGGTATCTAAAAATCGTGATCCATTTCAAAAGCATAGATTGATAAGATTATATAAATTATCTACACCGATGTGATAAGAGCTCGAATCGAAAACTACGTGCGTCACGTCCATATTTTATCTAGATCTATATACATTAATATTTCCGAATGCATCCTATTTAGGTTAGATAAAAAAAACTATCGAAATTCCAAAGTTATCCAGATACACACACTTCAACGTTTTTATCAATAATTTACACATACATTTATATTCGTATACTAAAGGTATAAATAGGGGACCAACTCGATGATATAAAATGCATACTGTTTCACTTCCTAGTTGAACTAAGATTAAAAATTCACTTTATTAGACATAAATGGATGTAACAAATGTTTTTCCTCCTTTCTTTTCCGATTATAAACGAATATGTGACTGTTTTAGTAAACCCTCCCAGATGAGATGACAATGATTATATCAAAATAATCGTGATTTCCCGCATTCATATAATTATATAATGTTGACAAATACTTGAGAGCGTTCGTGATTTTCAACAATCATGTATGATATTGTTACATACTTGAGATCGAACGTGATTTTCATACATATACATGTATTGTCGAAGAATCCGTGAGAGCGTTCGCTATTTTCAACAGTTTTGTACATGTATAATGTTGATTTTCAATAGCTGACGACGAATCAATGATAGCCTTCGTCATTTTCTCGTGATTTTCAATAGTCATATATATAATCATTACAAATACGTGACAGTATCCGTGATTTTCAACAGTCATATATAATGCTGACAAATACGTGAGAGCGTCTGTTATTTTTCCGTGATTTTCAACAGTCACATAAAATGTTGACAAACACGTGAGAGCGTCCGTCATTTTCCGTGATTTTCAGCAGTCATATATAATGTTGACAAATACGTGCGAGCGTCTGTGATTTTCCGTGATTTTTAATAGTCATATATAATGCTGGCAAATACGTGAGAGCGCCCCGTGATTTTCCGTGATTTTTTTAAGTCATATATAATGTTGACAAATACGCGAGAGCGTCCGTGATTTTCCGCGATTTTCAATAGTCATATATAATGCTGACAAATACGTGAGAGCGCCCTTGATTTTCTGTAATTTTCAACAGTCATATATAATGTTGACAAATCGTGAGAGCGTGCGTGATATTCCGTGATTTTCAACAGTTACATATATAATAATGACAAATACGTGAGAGCGTCCGTTATTTTCCGTAATTTTTCAACGTTGACAAATATTTGAGAGCGGTAGTGATTTTCGACAATCTATAACATATATATAATGTTGGCATTTCAAGAATTTTTAAAAATCCCGAAACGACAAAAAACCATGTCACTTATGTATCTTTACATTTTATTTACGTTTTGGCATTACGGCCTTATATAAATATTACTATTCTAGCCAAGTCTTACATCGTGCCGTCCTTATTATTATTACAGAAATAATGAAGTATCGACGGAAGTTGCGAAACCAATGGTTTTGTAATTCTCATACGCACTGTTTTTATGTGTGGCACTTCTCTATAAAGATATTTAAAGTGATATTGTTATGAAAAGTATCTTAGTAATATAACTAATTATGATAAACATAGAAAAATCCATTCCAAGATTTAGATTTAACTTTAGAAAAAGGTCGTTTTAAAAATATAGATTGGAAAATTACGTCTTGTGTGTAATGTGTAATATGTAATATGCATGTTATTGGAAATGAGTATCATTTTTTATTAGTTTGCCCATTTTATTCTGAATTTAAGAGCACTTTTTTAGCAAGATGTTACTACACATGGCCAAATAAAATGAAATTTAAGATATAATGAAATGTACATCGAAAAATGTAATGATAAAATTACCTGGTTATATTCATTTACATTTAGATAAATGAAATAGTTAAAATTACTTGTAATAATATGTAACTTTGTCATAACCCATCATCATATTTTTCCGTAATTACAGTATTGTATATGTTTTCTACATGTATCTATTTAAAAAAATCTGTATATGATTTCATATTATAAACCTATATTAAATATAAACCGCCAGTCATAATACTTTGGCGATAAACATTTATAATTTTTATGTCAATATGCTATTTGGCATGACTTGAAATAGAATTTTCAGTTAAACTTTAAGCTATATGGAAAATCAAAACATGTTGTAGATTTCATCGGGCTAGGTAGAGGTTATGAAATAGGAAGTTTATAAACAGCCATGCACTATATACTATTGACTGTCCATGTTATCTTGATAAAAATGAAAAACTTCTGCAAACGGATGAAATAAATGAGCTTAAATGAGCTATAAGTAGTGTTCTTATCTCCGCTCTATATATATTTATTTATTTATGATTTTCAATTTAATTCAAAATCAGGAAGCACTTAAATGTATGTATACTTGTTCACTGTGCAATTTTATGATTTATTGCGATTAAAAGATATTAAAAGTGACTGTGTGAAATGAAATAAAACATATCGTTGAAATATCAAATAACCATACAACATAATCTCGTTACGGTGTTCAGACAACTATATATGCTACACGTTTTTACAATCTGATTAAAATCAGCTCTAAATAACTCTGCGCTTTTAGATCTAAGTGTGACCAAAAACGAAGTTATTTCTGGTGATCTTTCACATAGCCAATCATCGGCGAGCTTTCATAATTTTTTAAAGCGAATTTCAGTTTTCTAAGTTAAACCCCGGAAAAACCCCAAAACTGAGTAAAAATTGTTTACGATTTTTTTAAACCAAAAATTGCCCCTAAAATCCTTTCCCAAAAAAAAAATTTACTCAATTTTTCAGTTTTAATTTGGGTACATTTTACTTAAAGGGGTTTTTTTTCTAACAAAAAACAACCCAAATTTGGGAAAAACCCTTTCCCCGGGGTACCGGATTTTATACTTTTTTTTATTGCCTATGGGAAAAAACCCCGGTTTAAAGCATGTCTTAAAAAAAGCCTTTTTATTACAAGTACGGGGTAATCAAAACTACATAAAAGAAATATAAGTCAGATTGCACGTTTTATTCGTGTATGGTTTTCAAAAAAACATAAATAAATAAGCATTTTTGCATTTGGTCGGCCCCTTGTTTCTGCCCCCAGTAATTATGAAAAGGGGTACAATAACCCTTTTTAGGGGAAAAAAAGTCCACCTGTATGGATGACGTTGAAACAGAAATGCATGTCCTGCTAGAATGGTTATTATTTGATAGTTATAATAAACACATACTTGTTGAAAATGCCTGCAAGGTCAATGTAAAGTGATAAAGATAAGTTGCAGTTTTGGTGCACACACCCATACATGGTATGTCGTATGATTTATGCTTATAACCTGTTTTATTATTTTAAAACAAAGAAATAACCTAACCAGCTATATGATTAAAAAGCTTATTTTATAACTTAAAAACAAAGAAATAAACAGTTGTACAATAAACTTAATGTTTAGTCAAACGGTTTTATTAATATTTCAATTCAAATAGTATTCTAAAAACAATGTTAGGTTTCGTACAACTGTGTATCCAGCTTAATTAAAATTAAAGGAATTGGGTGGAAAATGAACTTTGTTGCCGGTAAAAAGCGGAGAACTTTTTTATTGTAACATATATGAGTTGTGATATGTGATTTGTGCGTTGGTGCGTGTGTGGGTGTGTGACAGTGTAAACAGAAGAGAGACCTTACATACCACAATGTTTCTATTTTTCTCCCGATCTGTTTTTTATCACTCTATTCTCTCCTTGTAAACAAATAGAGATTTGATTAATAACACAACATTTTGGTAGCATTTTTAAGAGCTTGAACAATTACAAATACGGAATATATTTTCTTTATGATACTTTATCTGCATCCTATTTCTAGTTAAAACCGCAACAAATTTGGTTATATCTATGCCCCGACGTCCGTGATAATAATATCAAATATAACAAGGATGTGCCGGGTATAATAATAATTCTGTTTTCATATATTTTCCTTGAGCATGTGGCTGGAGTAATAAAATGTATCCAAAAAAAATGTGCACACATCTTATTAATACCTCGTCCATGTAATCAAGTCTGTTTCAGTCATCACAAAAATGTGATAAGAGGTATTAAATCAGTGTATTTTTCTTTTTGCTTTTATTTTATTTAATCAATTAATTTATTTATATTTTATTTACTTATGGAATGTATCTTTAAAAATGTGCACACGTCTTATTATAACCTCGTCCATGTAATTAAGTATGTTTCAATCACCCCCCCCCCCCCCCCCCAAAAAAAAAAAATGAATTAGAGGTTTGAATCAGTGTATTTGTGTTTTGCTTTTTTAGTTAATTAATTAATTCTATTTATTTATTTATTAAATCTTATAAAAATTTATTTATTTGTTTATTTATTTGTTTGGTTTATTGATTGATTGATTTATTTATTTATCAAATCTTATTAAATTTTATTTATTGATTTATTTGTTTTTTATTTGTTTGCTTGCTTGTTCGTTCGTTCGTTCATTCGTTAATTCTATCTTGTAGCGAAACAGTTTTTCAGTATCACTTTACTTCATTTTTATCATTTACAATATTGTTTTGTTAATTATCTTAAAAACATAAAAATACCACTTCAATTTCACCCTTAAGTAGCACGTGTATTTTCAGTTTTAAATTAAAAGCTTTTAAATTAAATGTTATTTCTTTGCATGCACTTAACAAGTTTATGCATTATAATGTATACAAATATAAGAAGATAATTTGAAACTTACATATTTAGGTTGTCAAGAAGTATGTTGCATTCTTTTGTATTTTTCCAGATAACTAGAAAACAAAAACTTGTGAAAATGAACAAATGCAATTCGCTGTCAGTATGGTGCCCTGTTTTCCTCGGCTTAGTAAAATAAATATCCCTGGCTATAAAGTCATAACGAAACTATGATTTTAAGTACCGTTATCTACAAATAAAAAGATTTATTTTTACTTCCTAGTTAAAAACATTTTGGGACAAAGAATTTTTGAGAGGCGGCGAATGTTTATAAAATAGGAAGTTAAGATATAGTGATCGTGTTTTATTTTTTCTCTTTCTGTTCTTATCATCATCCATCTTATGTGTATTAAAATTGTCGATGTCTAAGTGCACAGTTTATAAATTGTATTTGTATTGAATATATTGTCGACCTTACGCTTTAGTTAAAGATCCTGTAACACAATTTTTTATGGTTTTAAGTCATAATTAAATATGATGCTCAAATTAAGATTTATCAATATTGTAGGTTCAAAAAAGCATTGTTTATAAAGATATTACCGAATTTAACATTTCATGTAAATAAAATGAGGTAATAAAAACTTTATTTCCTATAAAGTTTAAGTCAAATTTTACAATAGGAAATGAATGCAGATAATTTAATGGTTACATATAATATGCACAAATATTTGCAATACATATTTTACACATTATTCGATTTTTAAAAATTGTTTTATTTGCATCATTATGTGCACATATATATATATTATATATATATAATTTCACTTAGTGTGGTTTACCACTTGATCACAACATACAGCTAGATCTTTAATAATTATTTCTGTTACTAACATTGTAAATAAAAAAGGATCATTTGAAAATAAAATATGATAAAAAGTATAAAGGCTAGCGTAAAGAAATAACTAAACTACATGTAGTCCTGGTTAATCCATTTCATTAGACAAGTGATTGGAAATGAGAAAGATGGTTTAAACTAACGCTGTTCGGTGTTCATATCAAGGTCCGAGTTGGTCAGAGTAAGGGTATAAGAAAGATATTCTTAGGTAACTCTTTAAATGTCAATGTAAGGAAGTAACAAATGTGGTCTGAGCTAGCCATGTTCATAATGACAGTGTAAGGGTATGTGAAAGATGTTTGTTGCGAATAATCGTCTCGAATTACCCTTTTCCTAAAGGCCAGCTAGCTTAAAGAAATGTTTAAGATGTTCTTACCTAACCCTGTTCATAAAGATCTATGTAAGTGTCGTAGGGTTCATATTTCCTAATAAAGGGGAACTGTTTCGGTCTGTAATGGCACGGAAACAAATAATACAATTTACTAAGGAGGAAATAAAACGCAACACAGCTACCTCGTGGAAGTATATTTAGTGTGCGCAGCGTGCCTTCCAATCCGGGGGAGTAAATGTTAGGAGGCCCGTCCAGAAGAAATTAGTTGTTATGAATTATATAGAATGACATTAAGTGTTACATGTTGCAATGAATGAAAAGGATGAATGAAAAATGAGAAAAAATATGGGAAAATGAATAGGACAAATATATAGGACATGTACATATATGATATAACAAAATGACAAACGTATACAGGGGATATAACGATACAATATACAAGACATACATACAAACAATAAATTTATTATACATGTCGGTATATTACCCTCGTGACGTAAGGAAATGAGAAAATTATTCTTACCTAACCCCTTTCAGAAAAACAATGTAAGGAAACGAGAAAATGATCTTACCTAACCCTGTTCATAAAAAACTATATAAGAAAATGAGAAAATGTTTTACCCAATCTATTTTTAAAGAACAATGTAAGGAAATGAGAATAATGTCCTTAGGTCAACCTGTTAATAAAGAGGCAGTGTTTGATGGTCTTTGTTAATCTGTGGTTTCTTATAACGGGTAATAGTACGTACAACCGTCTTTATTTTGAGTCAGGAAGAAGATTTTCGATGGGGCATCGGTTCAAACCCCACAGGGGGGGGGGGCTTTTATGCCCCCGCAAAGTGGGGAGAATATAGCGATGCACTTGTCCGTCCGTCCGCCCGTACGTCTGTCCGTCCGTACGTCTGCCCGTTCGTCCCGAAATCTTGTGAACGCAACTCCTCTTAAACCGGATGGCAGATTTTGTTTAAACTTCCAGGGATGAACAACTTTAATGTGTGGATGGTAGTAAAGGAAGGAATTTTCGCTGCGACCAAATTTAACAGAATTATGGCCCTTTGTTGATTTTTTCACTATATACCATATAGAAATTTTGTGAACGCAACTCCTCTTAAACCGTATGGCAGATTTTGCTTAAACTTCCAGGGATGAACAACCTTAATGTGTAGATGGTAGTAAAGGAAGCAATTTTTGCTGCGACCAAATTTAACCGAATTATGGCCCTTTGTTGATTTTTTCACTATGTATATACCATATAGAAATTTTGTGAACGCAACTCCTCTTAAACCGGATGGCAGATTTTAATAAAAAGATCCACATAAAAATCTTACATACAGATATGCATATGCTTTTGTTTACGAGCACATCTGCACAGTGGGGGCATTCGATCGTGTCCTTTGGACACAGTTCTAGTTATATTTTTATTTACAGTCTTATTTGAACATTCTTTTTTTTGTTATCGTGAAATGAGTGCAAAAAGGTTTTTTACAACATAAAATCATGATACTTCTAAATATGGCCGGTAAACCTTCTTAATTTTTTGCACGAAGGTTCAATATTATTGTTTCAATATAATAGCTATGGAATATCAAGCAATGCCCTTATGATATATAAACTAATTCGACATGTTTTCTGAACCAACTCTCTCTGATTTCATAAAATACTTAGATTAACCACCATAATTAAAAAAAAAACATGAATAAAAGTTGGACTGTACTCGTGTATCTCACATGTCATACTTAAATTGTTTGTTTGTCTCCCCCTGAATGTCACTAACCTTCGTGTTTAAGTTCTATCACGGATTGATAAATATAATATACAATTGATTTGTAATATAAATCCGTGGTTCTATCTTGTATTAACTCGCGTTAATAGGACAAAGGGAAAATAAATAAGCTGAGAATGTTCAATATTTTTATGTGACTTTTCATCTAATACGTGTATCTAGATATGAGTTTATCTTATTTTTGCACTTACAATGTACCAGTCATTAGTGAAATGACACTAGGGACTGGTTATGCTGCATATATAGTAGAAGCACCACAGGGTCTAAATCTTATACACTTTTCTGGTAGTGCGCGTTGTCAAATTTATCTATCTATCTAACCTGTTGCACGGATTTATATTACTTGTAATATAAATCCGTGCCTGTTGTAAAAGTCTCATCTAGGCCTATTGATCATTTTAAAGTGATTTTGGAGTGTTTTTACATCATTAAATTAAAATTTTAAAAATAATTGATGAATTACCAATAGTACATGTGCTAAAAAATCTACAATACATCACGGAGCTATAAATATACTGAATGTATATTTGTGCATACATCCAGATACATAGATATTAACACAAAAAGATGACAACGTCGCTTGTCAGAAGTTTAGAGGAGCCTAAAATGGCGCGTGATTTGATCAAATTTTTTGATGATCAAAGGAAAAGTTATGCGCGCTATTTGTCAAGCGTTGACTGTCTACTTGAAAAGGTGAATGGTATCCTATATAAATCAGACTCAGAATAGAATCATTTTAAGCGCAATCGCAATGTTGATATCTTAAAAAATTGCGGTTGAATATCTGTTAAGTTCGGACTCGATTAAACTCGACCCATAGCAGCGCAATTAAAAGTATACTTTTTAATTTTGTAGCTTACATAGAAGATTTCCAAACAGACATACATTCAACCATCTTATTACGTTTTGTGTCTTCTTCAGCGATTTTGGGCTACAGCCTCTGGTTCAAATTTTTATGGAAGTCTGTGAAAACCTAGTTCTGGCTTCGAAAACTTTATAAGCTGCTTTTTAATATTTTTGTTTTTCATTTGTTGCGGCATTAAAGTTTTGGATTAGACCCGTTACGAAACCTGACCAGAATAACATAAGTTGATTTAACCTTGTTTTTCACTTGCAAATACATTTGACCCAATCAATTCTTGTGCATTTTACGATAAAACAATTATTTTAATATCGTTTATACCAATTAAAGTATCAAAATATTAATACCGTCTTTAAAATTGCCTATTTAACTGTAAAACATGAATTACGCTGACTACAGTTGTCCATGACATTTAGGTGCCACGCGAGACGTCATATGACGTCATTGGCGGGAACCGATTTATCATTAGAATAGAGTCGTGTACTATAATCTATATTTAGAACATCTTTGTTGACATGATGTCGATATTTTTATTCAAGATAATGTTTTTATTTATTTTCATTAATTTTTTAGTATGCAAATATGATTTTATTGAATACAAAAGTCAGTAAATCACCTTTTTCAATATCTTTAAAAAAAGTAATTTATAAAAATATTGGAAGCACATGGGTTCGTAAAGGTCAATCTCAAAATCACCTGGTCAAACATTTTGGCAATATGGCAGCCAAGTGCCGAAATGTTTACCTGTCGGAAACTATTAGGTAGTTTATGTTCGTAAGAAGATTTTTATTTGTCCATCCTTGGCTTATCAACAGATTATATATAGTTTAATCAAGGAATGCATCACTTTACTTCATGGCATGTTCGATGACTGAATACGAGCATGTCAGATTCCTGGCACTATTATTGGTGGACTTTCCCTACGGGGTTGTCTTCAGCATTCACATCATGTCATAGTATATAAATGGGTACGCTGAAGACCTTAAGATAGTGAAAACCTATTTATAAATTATACATTTTAGCTCAAGATCTCAAGGGAAGAGAGCTTTCTTTAAGTTTTCTGAAGTATACTTCTTTAAACCAATGAGTACTGGTTTAAGAACTATTTTAAGAAACATAGTTGTGACCCCCCAAGTTGAGCTCACCCATGATCCCAAGTTTGAGAGGCAGACACCTTTACCACTTGGGTTAAGCTGCTGTGTTTCTGCTTCAATAATCACACTTGAATGAACTGTATGCATATGTAATGATCTGCCCTTCCAGATTTGCCAACTTGACAGTGATTTTTAGCTTGACTATGCGAAGAATATGAAAGCTATTGTAGTCGCCCCCTCGCGGCGTCTGCGTTGGTTAAAGTTTTTTGTAAAGTCAAATATCTCAATTATTGCTTGAGATATTCAATTGAAACTTACAATACTTATTTATAGTAACAATGTACATCAG